CGCGTAAACAGCAGAGAATTTGGGGTTGCACATCGATCTACTTTGCTAACGCAGGGAGACTTCAGTCAGTCATGGAATGCGGTCTTAATAAAGGAAACAGCATAAACCCTACTCCTCAGCCTATTCACTTGAGTCAGTATCATCTCCCATACGTACACTGCTTAAGTGTAAACCTCCGCAATCTAAATTTGCCATATAAATTTGTCAATTAAATTTCTCAATTATAAGAGTTTGCCATAATTTCAAAAGGCCATACCTTATCACACAAGTCCTTTAATGCCATGAGGTATTTATTTTCTCCGAGTCTGTCAACCCACCGCCGGCAGAACGCCAAAGTTCCGAAGTTGCGATCAATCGTGTTGAGAAGAGCTTTTGAACGAGCAAGTCTATAAAGTAAGATTTCATTTTTTTCATCACCGCAATGAATCATAACGCTTCATGGAACAAAGGGATTACCTCAACGGAATGTGCTCTTCTGAAAGTTCGAAGTTCTTCATGTAATGTGAACACTCCATATCGTCGTGCACATATCCTTTACCAGTTGATCCGAATGTTTCGATCGCATACACCTGAAAATGAAGCGATACAAGAAACATGAACAGCTTGCGCGACCACCCTGATGGTGCGAATTGCGGCCAAACCTACATAGCTAGTAAGCAAACAGTTTGAACTCGCACAATATCATAACCATCCGGACAAGGAAGCCGTGCAATACAAAGATTAAGAAAAATGAATTAACCAACAAAATCTTACCTCGTTTTCTTCCATTTTCGTCTGGTCGCCACCTTTCACTATCGGTACTGTTTTTCCAGCATGGATTCTGCAATACGGCATGAATCAAAAAGCCGGGTTTGGAATTCATATTACAGACACATTATAAAGGCTTAGTATGAGCTGAAAATTATTGATTTGCGTTCGGTCACAACACTGTGCTGCTTTTACATGAACCGCTGGGATAACACTGCAGATAATTGCTGAATCTCGAATAGTGGCAGCCACATCCAGTACCTCTTTCTATTCTAGCTCTTACAACTTAACTAAGCTCACATACAACCAAACTGTCATCATCATGTCAGTTGACAATCACCTCTATTTCAATCGAGTGACACGTGTTCAAGTTCCGAATAGGCTTCACAGTGTAGGTACGCCCATCGAGTTCCACTTCATGCGATGTCATAACCTTAATCATACTGGTAGACAGTAGGGACTATAGAAGGCGTCACGTCAGCCGTGTCGCGCTTTGCATTTCAAAGATTTTGCGAAGTACTCTCTATGGATATGTTAAGTGTAAAATAAGGTAGAGGCAGTGAAATAGTACAAGTTCAAGCTGAAGCGATGTGAAAAAAAAACGGGCACTGAAATGGAAAATAAAACGATGTGATGAAAGAACGTGAATTTTAAGAAAGCAAACCGCCAAAAAATGTAGGCCATAGCAAGAAAAAATACAAAAAACTTGGGAGCACATTACAGAACTATTTTTCACGAATAGGATGGTTGTGTGAAAAATGTGCTACCTCTTCGATGGTCTCTCCCAGATCGCACAACCGCACATCTATACCAGCCTCTCGGATTCCTGCGTTTGTTGCCTCCTTGACCGCATTCACCAAATTGTCATAACGTGGATCAAAATGAAGAGTGAACGCACTATCAATGAGGCGTCCACGTACGTGTACACCATAGTCGATCTAACATTTAACATACCAGAAGTTTCTCTATGACGCCATGGAGTCAGGGTGGTCTGCCACAGGAATGATCACTAAAATCAACTAGCTATTTTTGCTTACCTTACAAACATCGCCATACTGTAAAACAGTTGTATCTCCATTATTTGGGGTATAGTGAGCAGCAACGTGATTCAGCGAACAGCCAGTAGGGAAAGCGAGACCAGCTTCAAGCCCATTTTCCTTTATCAAGTGGCGCTGAGCAGCCTCCAAACGCTCACTACAAATAACACTTTAGTTATTGAGATACGCGACTTTGAAGTAAACTAATGCAGTCACAAACTATCTCCTCACTGCGGCTAATCAGGGGCGGTATTCAATCCTTCCCCCAGGGGGATATATCCCCCTACTCTGATTCAATCCTCTGGGGGACAAAAAAGGGTTGCGTCATAGGACCTCGCATACCTCTGTGTTTCTACCTGCCAGACAGTTAGAGCAGCGCGACCCCTCAGGGGAAAGAGTGCTTCATCAGTGGAGGGTAGTAGCGCTGCTCTAACTGTCTGGCAGGTAGAAACACAGAGGTATGCTAGGTCCTATGACGCAACCCTTTTTTGTCCCCCAGAGGATTGAGAGGATTGAATCAGAGGAGGGGGATATATCCCCCTGGGGAAGGATTGAATACCGCCCCTGGATAGTTTGAAAACGGTCTCGGATAATCTCCAGGGTTTCAAAGCGGCAAAAAGTGTAGAAAACATCAAAAGCTCCGCTGGATATGAGGGAAAGCCATGACGTTATCTAGTGAAATCATGCAACAACGCAACGACTCACCAAATTTCAATCATCGTCATTCCAGGTTTTACCCAGGATTTCACATAGCTCCGAACCTGTCGATGAGCTTCAGCCGACCGCCGGTAATCCTAAAGGAATACTTAGCAAGAAGGTCTCCACAATATTAACACAACTTTCTACCTGATACATTTCTTCAAAAGATCCCATCCAGAGCTTTCTTCTCTTGATTGCTTTCTCGATCTGAAGCTATCCTCCCATCCTTACCTGCAATTGGCTTTTTTATGTTCCAACGCTGTACCTACGGACTCATATATGTAAGCCACCCAAGCAGTATCTACGAAAGTCTGCATCGGTGCAATTGAATTCAGGATAGAAGAACACTATCCTACCTGGAAGATAGTACGTTTCGCATTGTCCCACAGGATACTTTCCATCAGGAAACTGCTCATCGATAGGTTTCATAGCCGTTATTTCTTTGTGCCAGTCAACTACTGGAGCTTCTTCCACACCATTGAGTACTGTGTCTCCTCCACCATTCATGACAGCAGCACCCTTAGCTAGAACACGAAAGATCACGTAGAATCAAGATGATAAACGAAAAAAAAACCTGAAGAAACCGCAAAGTATTCCATGGAAAAATTATAAAAAAAATGATCTGCTAAAAACCTTTGACGCAAACTTAGTATTTGTACCGTGTACACCCTCATCTTCTCTGTGCAAACGTATTAAACAAACTCATGAAACTTCTTTCAAATGCAACTCGAAAGTACACACCTCAGTCGACATCGGCAAGGCAACGTAGAGCCCCACTAACGCACTGACATAGACAGACTGTGACATAAAAATGTTGTACAAGCGATTGTCAATCAAAAAAGAGCACATCTACAAATTCATCAAATCACCCTTCGCTAAGACTGTTGGTACCAGACTTGTCTGGGAGGATAAAAACACTGACTTGTACATCGGCTGGCCCCGCAAGTCATTGTATAGGCCACATCGCATTCAAACGCCACTACGAATGTACAAATGGAAGTAGAATGCGTGCCGCATCCCAAAAAGGGATTGATCAACGGCAAATGCTTTATCCTTTATCCTTTTACCCTTCGCTAGCAGAGTATAAGCACTTCTGATTACTGGACTTGTAATGTTATTAGCAAATATAAGCTTAAGAAGTTGAAGTCAATAATATGACACGGAAGTTTGCAAAAAGCTGATCACTGTGATGAAGAAAGGACGTTGTTTCAAAAAGAAAGACTAGAGACAAGGATGATAGAAGAAAAATGTTTCAGGACCACTAACCGATGGAAGAAGCTACTGTAGGCTACAGTTAGAAACAAACTGTTACGGAAACAAAACTTAAGGCAGCAAAATCCCGCTCGTCTCCCGTCATTCTCTAGCTCGAGTAACAACTGTTACAAACACGACGTGTGGATACAACGAAACACAGACCTTTCTTGCCTCCTTTGCCCTTCTTTGTTCCTGCTTTCTCTGCCCGTGCTTTGTCCTCAACGGCAAGCTCAGCCAAGATCGCATCGAGATCCTCATCTGAAACTGGCATCAGTTGAACAAGAATAATACATGAAAATTACCAACAAAGCAGACATCGCGCTATCTCTTCTCTCTAAATGGCACGCTATCTGTGAAGACCAACTACCAAGCAATAATCAGAAACCAAATTCTGACTCCAAATATGGTAAAATACAGCTGCCATTTTGGAAGAAGCGCACCAATCTTACAACAAATCAAGAAGTACATGTTACCTGCGGCCGCGACCTTCCCCTTCTTAGCTGCTCCTTTTTTCGACATGGCTGGAACTATAGTTGCAGCTATATGAAAGAAACACAGACCTTGATATATAACTGAAAATTGAATCGATAGGAAGAAGATCAACACTTCCGACATCAAAATAAGAATAACAGCAGTGAAATAAAGCTTCATTTCAACAACCTTCAAAACAAAGCACACAGGGGAGACACCCGTGATCATTATTACCGTAATTTCACCATCTGAATTATACCCTAGAAACTAAAAAATATAAACATAAAAACACATGTGCAAGAAAGGCCTTAGTTAGTAGGCAGTAAAATAATTTCGAGTTATTAATCTTAGTGATATCTTCTATTGAGCATACACAGATATGAGGAAACACATATGAAAATCTACGTTCTTTCTATACGCGTCGGCAAATCGCCTCAACTGCTCTTCCTCTTCATCGCAACCATCTGAGTCACTTTCTCCTTCACATGACTCTTCAGAACCACTCACTGTCTCATCTTCAGAAGCGAGCCCTTGCTCAAAAAGTAAAGTGTTGCCTTCATCATCCGAAGCACGATATCGGTGGAGCGACATCTTTGTTCGTCGTTCTTCTTCCTCCTTATTCACTTTGATCTCCTTCGCCTGTTCACTTGTAGGAAGTTCGACTTCTAGAAGGCATTTGGGTCGTCCTGATGCTTCTCGACTCGAGCTTCACCTTTCATTAACCTGCTCATTAACGCCAGCATCAGGTGGCGACTCCAGTTCTGAGTTAAGCGGAGTAGCCCTATGCGTTTCGGAGTTTGTCTCAACTGCAACCTCGCATTTACGCCCTGCCTCTTTATACACATCATATTTGAACAAGGCATCGAAATTTCGTAACCATGCAGTGTGATGATCAACCTTAGCACGCCAGACCTCGGGTGGGTCACGAAGGGTTACCTGGAATGGATTTTGTGAGACACCGAACAAAGCGAGTTCAAAAACAAAATTTAGGAGGGAAGGCGCAAATTGAACACCAATAAGACCTTCTAAAGTTGCCTTATGATTAAGGCTGTTTTCAGGCTCCAACCTGCCCCTCCAGTGCATAACCCCCTAATACTAGTATATAGAAAGAACACAACATAACCCTGTTTTTCATATTACTCTTGCAACTCATTAAATTATCACCGTGGATTTGAAAAGAACCTCAGCGACTCAGGGAGCAACCTGTGTAAATGATGTGCATAAATAATATGTAAGGGTATCAGCCATCAGCAAATCCAATACCTATACAAGCTGTGATGGTGTTCCCTTACCTTATTCGCCACAGACTGAACAACACCTGATTCTTTCAAAACGGTCATATTTAATTATATATATAAAATAAAGATTTACCACAGCTCCCGAATTACTGTGACTGCTATGCTTCTCTTCCTGGAAACTTCATGAACTGCTCTTTTACTCGCGAACAGAACATCTCGAACGATGATTCTGCAACTGGTGCTCGACACGGTGCTCTCGAGCTGAAGCCATCAATTTCGGCTTCGCCATTTGTGCTCTCTGCCGTTCCGTTCATGACCTTGAACCGCGAGGGCAATCTTGACAAGTTATGACATCTAATACCATCAATCAGGTTTTGATTAGGCAAACTTCACCTCGAGCCCGCTCTTTCTTTCCAGTAATTCCGTTGCCTACGCAGGTCTGCTGGCTTACGAACGGAGCAGCGCAGAATACTGTTGAGTTGAATACGGCTGGCTCACTCTGTGTCGCCAACGAAACAGAGTTGTGACGTATGGATATCCTAAGCTTTAAAAATTTGTTTCAGGACCTAAGACGGCAAAAAGGGCAGACAGAATGTACAAGTACATTTTTAAGGAAGCGGCTGTCTGGTTGGCTATAGATCGTTTCGCGATATATTCTTACCCTCGATTTCGGGTGGCCCGCTCGCTTCCTTTTGACCTCTACGCGAAGGTGTGGGTGCTAAATGTGCTTTTCCCGTTTGAATCTGTTGAATCACAACATCATTCATGCTTCAAGAAGCGTACCTGCTCGTTCCACTCGGTGTACATCTGCTACACCTTCGTGACTGCTTACATCAGAATCTTGTTTGAAAGGTATGAAAGGATCGACAGACATGTCAAACCTAAAAAAAACTTTTAGGAAGTTTATTTAGAAAATAGTTTCCTGTCGAAAAAATTCATAACTTCTGTGCAGAACTAAAAATAGCGCACTAGATTTCTTCACATGAGCTACAAGATGATTTCGCCAAAAAAGTGCTCACCTTGCTAGAGCGTATTGCCACCATGACTCCTTTGATAGTGAATCTCTTATGGAAAGCAGCTCACCGCGCATATAGAACTTCCGTTTAGCCTTTTGACGCGACGGAACAAATCTGAAGGAAAATCAGGAATGCACTAAAACAGGAGCATCGTAAAAGTCACTTTATGTACCCACTTGTACTTTTTAGGTTGTTCACTGGGCACTGCAGAAGAGGGGGCTACTTTGCCATTATCATTTGAATTTTTCAGTTTCATGATCTTGGCACTCAATTCGGCGACCTCTTTGGCGAAATTATCCTTCCTGTCACTCTGTGACAAGGCCCACGTAGATCTGAAATTCATCGTTAGGCCGGTAAAGGTAGAAAGTTAATAAGGTAAAGAAAACAATAGGAGACAATCTCCAAATAAACAGCGCTTGACAAGACATATCCACAAGAATATAACAACAAAACCAGTTTCTGTACAGACACATTAACTTACCCCCAGTTCGTTTAGCCATGACAGCATTTCTTCACTCAAAGAGGCCTTGAGTTTTGACAACTCCATGAATGCCTGCCTATCGTAGGATCTGAAACAGCAGCCAAAATATGCACTACTTATCCATGACTATAAAAATAAATTAACAGATTCTTTGAAGATTCGTTTTGATCAGGAAAGGCACTGAAAACGTTCAACCCTACCTGTTTGACAAATCAATCTGGGCTGCGTTACAATCGCGTAAGACTTTGGGACAATCCAAAGGTGTAGGCAAGACTGCTTTGCTTTTGCCGTTTTGCACATTTTGTTCCTTGGCAGGACCCTAAAAAGTGTTATTCTTCAAATGAAGCACGAATGACAGGAAAGAATGCAAAAAGAGAAATGTTCATTTTAATTTTTTGGAGAGAACAAAAAAGAAGAGAACATCGGAAGAATAAATTAGGGTTGTAAAGTCTCTGGAGGTCGTAGCAATCAAGGGCACCACTAAAAGGCGGTGTCGCACATTCGCTCATGGCAATTCTAGTAAAGCAAACAGGTCACATTCAGGTCAGGTCATCGCAACCTTGACTAGGACTTTCTAGCTTATCCTCGTAGAAATACTTATTCAGAACTTCTTGTTTGAGACGTTTTTGCTTGACCAATCTTCCCTCTCGCTATTGCAACCGTTTGCGTTGAAAATTTAAAAAAATTGCGCC